AAGAAATAAACAAGGACATATAAACAAGCATATAGTCTAAAGAAATAAACAAGGACATATAAACAAGCATATAGTCTAAAGAAATAAACAAGGACGGGAAGAAGCAGGGAGGGCCTCAAACACTTGTACATCAATTCTCATAGCAGCATTCTTCATCACAGTCAAAGGTGGAAACCATCCAAAAGTCTGTCAATAGACAAATGGACAGCCAGGTCCAGCTACACTGGGAGCTAAGGCAAGGCAATCATCTGAGCCCAGGAGTTTGAGGTCAGCCTGGACAATGTAGCAAGTTCTCATCTTAAAAAGCGGGGGTGGTTGGTGAATGGATAAACAAAAATATGATATATACATATATAAGGGCTACTCAATCTTTAGAAAAGGATGAAATTTTGATAGCATGCCACAATGTAAATGAACCTCTGCAAGCACAAGACTATGTTTTCAAAAAAAAAAAAAGCAAAGCAAAGTAGAGAAAAACAAATATATGCTCTCACATATGAATACCTACAATAAATTAGGCAAACATATGCAGATAAAAAGTAGAACAGAGGTTATCAGGGCTGGGGTGGGGATAGGAGGAATGGAGTTCAATAGAGTTTCTATTCACTATGATGAAATGTTTTGGAGATGGTAAATGGTTGGCATCTGTCACATAACAGTGAGCATTACTAGATTATACATTGAGAATGGCTGACATGATTAGTTTAACATTATGCATAATAGATCACAATTAAAAAGTTGACAGAGTTGGGGGGAACCCAAAATTATACTCAAAGACTAAATTACCTTTTTAAAAAGTTTTAAAAGTTATGTACTAAAAGTATACTTTTCACCTTTTTTGCTTCAGTGGAATTTTTTTAAAGTAAATCTTCCATTTTCTTTCTGAAGGCCTTAATGTTATTTCAATCGAGGTCTTATTTGTAATATCCATTTAAAGAAATTCCACCTGGCTCACCCAGGGCAATCTGTTACCTGTTACATTAGCAACTAAGGCAAGATTCTGGAAGATTTTTGCAAGAGGTTAGAAATATTTAAGACAGTGCCACAAGGTGGTGATAGAGACTATAAGCAGATACCACTGAATTTCTCTTAAATTATTTCTTCAAAACAGCACTAGGGGACACTATTACAATGTTTTTATATAGACTGAAATTGACCTAATGGTTCCTGAGTGTTCTTAAATGCAGTCTTCTTTTGTTGTCTTCCGAATGTAACTGTCAATCTGACCCAGCACATCCGTTGCCTCCCTTACATTTTAAGAAATGAGGAAGGCAGGCTTGAGGGATGCCTCGGCATTTTTAAGGGCAATGGCTGCTCTTTCAGAGGGCCAGGGTTCAATTCCTAGCACCCACATAGTGGCTCCCAACTGTCTATAATATCATGTATGCATACATGGAAACAGAGCACTCATACACATAAATAAACATCTTTTAAAAAAAGAAAGAAGGAAGGAAAAGAAAGGTAGGCACAGGGGCTTAAGTTCCAGTTCTAACTCAGTAAAATATAACCTCCTACAAGGGAAGCAGTAAATATGAGTAATAATATTTTTAATCACTTTCTATATTGGTAGGATTTTAGACAATTTATTTATGATTATAATATATTTCTCATGGCATGTCTAGAGAATCAAGACTAAAAACAGCCATCAGTTTATTAGATCACCATGTACTATTATGCACCTGTATTTTTAGAATATATGAATGGCCCAGATTAAATTAATATCCCTGAAAACCAATAATCCACGGCTACTGCATCTGAGAAAGAAAAACATTTTTATAAAACAAGTAAAATTAAATTTTATACAACACAAATGGATATATAAGAAAAAGTAACCAACAGTACAATCTAGCAGAAACAGACTCTGGACCCAGCGGTGATGGCACACTCCCTTAATCCCAGCACTTGGAAGGCAGAGGCAGGAGGATCTCAGTGAGTTCGAGGCCACCCTGGTCTACAGAGTGAGTTCCAGGACAGGCTCCAAAGCTACACAGAGGAACCCTGTCGAAAGATATATATATATATATATATATATATATATATATATATATATA